GAGGCATAGGAAACAACTATTTTCATTCCCACTCTCCATTGGGAAATTGAGCACTGCTCATGCGTGGCTTACAACCTCATGACTGTATCTGTGCTCCTCTAGTCTCTCCTGTATGGTATGTGTTTTTTCCATCCTCTTATCTAAACCTGTTAAAATTCTACTTATCTCTCAAGATCCCTGCACTTTGTTCATATTCAGAACATTAATATTTATCTCACTGCATTGATATTTATCTCACTATATTCATATCAATTATTATCTCACTGTATTCATGTTAATTATTCACCCACTTGATTACTTCTTCAAGAAGATAGGAGTACTTTATGTGCAGGGATACTACTTACTCATCTTTATATACCTCTTTCTTTCCCCATGATCTGGTCACTGATTAGCATATGTATGGGTAGAGGCTCCTGACATGCTTTAACAAGACAGAGCTACCTCTACTCATAATGCTAATGCGTTGAAAGCTACAGCCATCTGGCCCTAATCACTAGCAAGGTGCTGTCAAGAAGATTAAAATCTTAGGTGATTGGACTAGATTGCCTTTTAAAGCCCCTTTGACCCAAAGACTCAAATTCCAAACAGACTCATGAAAGAAGTATACATTGTGCCCTGCGGGTAGGCTTTTTTCTCATTTCCTTTTCTTCTCTCCCTAAAGAGAGCCATTTCAGAAATTCTCAGTTGAGGACAGATTTTAAATTCTTCTACCACTGTTTTTCTGTCATTTATTTTATCTGTGGTAGCTCATGAGTAAGAACTAGCACCTGAATTCAGTGGACTGAGCCATTATCCTTAAAATCAAATCATGAAATAAGAGATAGAAAATAAGGGTAAATTGTTTGTTAAGTACAGATTACAAGCTCTACAAGAGGAGAGAAAAATCAATGGGAGCCAGAGTAATCAAGGAAAGGATCTTCAACCAAGTATTGCAGGATAGATAGAATATAAATGTAAGAGAGAAGCACTGCCATGTTAATTAAGAAAGATAAAAGCAGAAAGGGCATGAAGGGACAAAATAAACGTAGTGTAGCCCGAGGACATGAGGCAGTGAGACTAAAGCTCAAACCCATGTTGGAAAATAGTAGGAAATGCTACTTGTCCAACAAAGTGGGACAAATAATTGGAGGCATGATGGGGGGCGGGGTAGGGAGGTGTCTGAGAGGCTGCTAATAGGAGAGCATTGAAGGCCCTGAACAGAGGTGCAAGGTGATGAAATAAGTGTTTAAGAAAAATCAAGTCTGGGAGAACACTGCAAGTAAGATGAACATAATGGGAGAGCCATTATTGTAAAGGGTGGCCACTGGGAAGGGGGTCATAACCAGGTAGCTTCAGGGGTCAAGAGCTTTTGCAACAACATTGATGGAACTGGAGGCCATTAGCTTAAGTGAAACAACTCAGAAAGTCAAATACTATATGTTCTGACTTGTAAGTGAGAGGTAAATAATGTGCACACACAGACATAGAAGTATGGAATAATAGACATTGGTGACTGGAGGGGTGTGTGGGCAGGAGGAAGGTGGATGATGAGAAACTACCTAATGGGTACAATGTACATTATGCACCTTATGAATACACCAAAAGTCCAGATTTCACCACTACACAGTCTATCCATGTAACAAAATTGCAGTTGTATCCCTTACATTTATACAAATACAATAAAAAGAGTATGTCCTGATGATGGGGGGAGAGAAGTCATCATAGAGAAAGGCGAGGAGAGATTGCCCCAAAGGGGAGTGAGAAGGATCTGCTAAAAGGGTGCAGAAGATGAAAGATAACATTGTGTAAAAAATTATGGAAGGGATGGTGTGCTAAGAACAGAGTCAAGGAACTGAGGAAAAGCTGGATTGGCTACCACAGTATCTTTGGTACATGTTAAATCTGTATTCAAGCATGAAATACCCAGGAGCAGATAAGCTATGGGACAGGAATTCAGAGAAAGAAGAGGATTTAAATTAGAGACTTGAGAGCTTTCTACAGATAAGAGACAGCTGAAGTCCTAGAATGAGAAAGAGAGGGAGAGAGTCCCTAAGAGCCTCAAAGTGATGGACAGTGGAACCTTTGAAAACCAGATGTTTGCAAGAATATGAGCACAATGAAAAGGATAGAAAAGCAGCAATCAGTGCAGGATAAAAATTCAAGATCCAATAGCATCACAGTAAACATGAAAGGAGTTTTAAAAAGGAATGGGTGATAGATGATGAATGATGGTTAAGGACCATTTTAAAGACATCACTAGACCAACAAATCAGCAGGGCTATTTCCCCTCTCAACTACCAACATACTATACAGAATTATTTGATAGTTAGGCAGGAAAAGAGGTTGTGGCTATAAGACACAGTCTATTTTGTGTTTTATAATGACAAATAAGGAGACACATCAAGATTCTGCCATTCTCTGTGCAGAGAGAGTAATTGAAAAATAATGTTGTAAATACGGATCAATTTTGAGTAATGTCACTTAGAATATGTACTCTTCTGGGGTGTATATAATAGAAGTAACACTGCTGATGCTACAGATTGGCAATGTATTATGAATATGTGGGTAACCTATCAAAGTGTGCAAGTCCTAACAAAAGTTATAAAGAACATCTAAAGGCATATAAAACTGCCACAGGGACTATTAAGTAATTCATGGGATATTGCCAGGCACAGACAAAGATGGTTTGTTTCTGAATTCACAAGAATGCTTGGGAAGTGATATTTCTTACCTGCTCAGGAAACACTCAGTTTATGTCCAGGATATAACAAGAGCCACACTTGCAACTACTTTCATTTTAGCTGTGAACCATCTGGGAAGGTAACACAGGTAAAAAACAATGCTTCTGATCAGTCTGCATATTAAAATCACTCAGATCTGACTGATGGAGATGACATTAGAGGAAGCCAAGTGCTTTTTCCAGTGCCACTGAAACTGGCCTCTGGAATAGGGGTGTGAACTACTGTGCAAGAAATGCCCTCTACTTCCCCCAAACAAAAATAAAGGAATAATTAATAGTGACCATGGACAGATTCAGGTTTTGTGGGTCCTAAAACTTATATAATTTGGGTACCCTCTCTAAGAAATAAGAAAGTAAAATTGCAAATACAGGACTGAGTATGAAACTGGTTATTTATTTAGAATGAGAACCAGAAGAGACCTACAATTATAAGACCATAAAACATAAAGGTTATCAGCTACATGGTAAATTCACCTCTGCTAATGACCAAGTATTAAGCATAAAGTACTGCATAGAAAGGGAGGAAGAGCAGGTAATAAGGAAGAGGAAAAAAAAATGTCCCTTAAGGAATTCTGGAGACTGAATAAGAAAAAAGACTAAGAATAAAACCCCAGAAAGAACTCTGAATTGCAGAATACAGATGGTATAGAGATGGGAGAGAACCCAGAAGCCCTAGTCAATGTATATAACACATTGTCATCATATTTATTTTCCAGCGATTTACAACCATATTGCTTTTAGAAGCCTTGCCTAGTGGGACCAGATTTTGGGAAACACCAGGCCACTTCACTGCAGGTACTCAACAAGTGTTTGCTGAATGAATGAATAAGTAAATGCATGAAGAGAAACAAGGGAAATACTCCTTTTTCTTACTCTCCACCGGGAGCTGCTTTCCTCTGATGCTCCAATATACATGCATGTTTTTCTTGGCACTGGCTGGAATTGTCAAAGCAACAGTTCATGCCAATCTCTTCTCTTGTTCTGTTCAGGATAAACATGTGACTGTTTTTCCTGAACAGGCCAAGTCAAAAGCTATCTCTACCGAACATTAACTTGTAAGCATGTTCAGAGTCTCCTCAAAAGGATTATATATAAAATGGCTACTGTGGGGTCACTCTACTTACTGCCTCCCATCATCTTTCTCTTTCTGAATCAGATCCTGCAGGGATATCTCAGAAATTATTAACACCTAGTGGGGGGAGGATAGGTCAGTGTGGGATTCTAGCCAGGGCTGAAAGGCAACAAAATTCCTACATTTCAAACATTTCACCAATGATGGTAACATAAGTGACAATTTATATATCAATCATGATGAGGCTTCCAGGAAGATATTGAAAAGCCTCATGCACCACTCACTTGGTTAGCTACAAATCCAACCCAGGACCAGGGAAACCCTGGCCCACCAACTGGCTCATCAGAAGACAAGATTTAGGTGGTGGGAGCTCTTAGTGAAAGGAGGAAGGAGGATATAACAGGGCACTCAGCCCCTGCTTCATAAAGGGATTCTCTTTGGACAATAAATGCCCTACACCTTCCTGCAGGTTCATATATATATACATACACACACACACACACACACACACACACACACACACACAGGAATAGTTTAAAAGCTTATCCCCTTCCCCTCTTTTTTTTTTTTTAACCTTTTCCTAAAGAAGTCTGCCTTCTTCCTCTTCACCTACTAAATTTTCTACTTAAAATAGAGAAGAGCAAGACTGGAATAACACTACTGCTACCTCAATACTACAGAAATCTGTATCCTGATGTTCTGTTTGGGGCAAAGGATATGAAATCAGTGAGGCAAAGCAGTCACCTCAGTAATTAGGACTGCAGGTCTTAAATAGGAGAATATCTTTCAGCCACTTCCAAGCTATGTAATTCGACCTCAAGAGTTATTGAAACTCCCCAGATCTGTTTCTTGGTTTTATAAAACGGGAATGAATTTAGTTCCCACCTCTCGGAACTGTTGAGGACTGAGAAAATCCATGTAAAGTGTTAAATATAACTGCACAGCAAAAGCTAATTAAATATTAGTACATGGTAACTAGTACAGGGTAAATTTAATAGTAGTAGTAAAATTATTGTGTCTGCCTCCCCCAGTCACACCACCAGCAAAACGGGCACAACCCCCACTCCCACCTCGCAAGATATGGGGCCAAGCCACGGATACACTACACTCTCGCATGCACGAGAGACCCCCAAACGCCACAGCGCTACTGCAGCTTCCCCACCCCTGACTGCCAGCGCCCCCCAAACCATCGCTACAGTCCACACTGACCTGAAATGCCACCTCCGATCACGACCACGTCGAACATGTGGCCCGCTACACTCGCCTTCTCTTGGCTAGTCATGCTTCCGTTGATACTGTCCTGGGTCGTAGGCACAGGAGTGGGGACCGCAAAGGGTGGAAAGGACCCTTCTACCAACTCCCCCGGGGAGCCCGGGGGCGGAGCCGATCCTTCTTTTGATATCCGGGGGTAGCCGGGCACTGAGGGCGGGGCGAACCCTTTTGCTGATACTCTGGGAGCGCCCAGGGGCGGAGCTGATCTTTCAGCTGATGCCCGGCGGGAGCTGGGCACTGTGAGCGGGGCGGACCCTTGTACTGATGTTCGGCGAGAGTTATTAGGTTTAGAAGGTCCTTGGGTCAGCAGTTGGAAAGGATTGTTGGAGGCAGGAGGATCTTGTATTGAGCCCCGCGGAGTGTCGGGCACCGAGGGTGGTGGAGACAACAGGCTTGATACTCGGGAGGTGTTAAGGGGTGCAGAAGGTGCTCGTGGCGTTACTCGGGAAATGTTATTGGGTAGGGGCGGTCCTGGTACCAAAACCCAGGGGAAGCTGGGCGCTGTGGATGTAACAGATCCCTGTACTGACACTTGGGGGGTGTTATTGGGTGTAGGTGCTTGAAATGACACTTGCGAAAGGTCGCTGGGTGTGGGAGGTACCTGCACAAATATCCAGGGGTAGCCGGGCACTGAGGTCAGGGTGTAACCCGTGGGCAGGGCTGGCCCTTCCACCGAATCCCGGGGGGTGCTGAGCACAGATGAAAAGGCCGAGCCTTGTAGTGGCTCTAAAGACCAGTCTACGGACGGGGTAGGTCTTGTTACTGATACCCGGGGAATGCCGTCGTTGTGGCTGGAGGTTGTGGCGGCCCCATCGGAGGAGTTGGAGCGGGTGGTGGACTCCGGGATCCGCCTGCCCAAAATGTAAGCGCTGAAACCTGCCAAGCTACTCTTGGAGTCGGAGTCAGTACTAAGGTTACTTGTGGTGTTGATTTGAGAGGGTATGCTGGTGCTCCAGGAGGCGGCCTCGGCCGTTGAGGACATGCTCCACTGGGAACTACCTGAAGGATTGGAGACGGTCCGCCATTCCGAACGGATGCTCCATTCGGACGGGTTGTACGAGGTGTAGTCAAAGCTGGAGGCCGGGTTCGGGACCTGGGCAGTTGCGCCCCTGGCTTCAGGAGGACCCTCCGCCTCGCGCCCGCTCCCGGCGTCGATGCCAGTGCCGGTGCCGGTCCCGGTGTCAGCGGCGGTGCCGGCGCCGGTCCCGGTCCCGGTGCCAGTGGCGGTGCCGGTGCCGGTGCCGGTGCCAGTGGCGGTGCCGGTGCCGGTCCCGGTCCCGGTGCCAGTGGCGGTGCCGGTGCCGGTGCCGCCGGGAGAGGAGGCTGAGTAGTTTGTGTTCATGATTCAAGTTCTTTGTAGCACTTTGGACGCTAGCGGCGGCGTTCCTCTCACCGCAGCCCTTCTCCACAGTCAGGCTGCTGCCGGTATGCACTCTTGGCGGCCAGTCCCGGGCGCCCGGCCCAGTCGGGGGCGGGGAGATGTGGTTCTAGCCCGGCCGGGCCCCGCCTTCCCGGTCTGCCTGCCGGCTGGCGCTAACAACCCAACCACTGGGCGTGGCCGGGCGATACCACTGCATGGGGGAGTCGCCGTGAGCTGGCGAGAGTTGGGAAGTGGATGTAGGTGTAACCGTGTCGGGTCTCAACTTAGTGCTTTCATTCTTTGGCTTTAACTAAAAGCTAACTGGCCACGAGTGAACTTAAGGAAGCAGATATTTGAAGGAGGCGGAGCTGGGCAGGATCGCAGGGTCACAGGGTGCTGCCCGACTTGGTCTGGCCCTTTTGTGACGTCATCAAGGGCCGGCTGAGGTCTGCGCAGCCTCGAGCCCTCACTAGGTTGAGGGCGGGGCGGGGAGGAGTGGGACGGGGGGCGGGGCGAGGGCGGGGGGCGGGGCGAGGGCGGGGCGATGGCGGGGGGCGGGGCGAAAAGCGAAGGTCAAAGGGATGGCTAAGGTGCAGAAACAAATGAAATAAGAAAACATGTGTTTCCCCGTGCTACTGAAAAGAGTGCTATTTAGTGCATATATTTTACTATATATATAGTATATATATATAGTATATATAGTGCAGCCAGCCTTCTGTTTGCTAGTTTTATCCCTTTCTTAACTTCTCACTTTCTCTTATCCTGAATTTGTCATCAAAAGCTGAATTTGTCATCACTGGAACTCTCAAAAATAGGTGAAATAGTGACATAAATTTAGAGAAAGTGATGAGAACTCGAGGAAGCTAATGATGTCTACTCCCACCTATAAACATTTCTCCTGCTGCCCTTCGCTCCATTCTGCATCAAACATCTTGTCGAATAAACTGTAATGAAATATGGATTTAGTCTTTTCTTCATCCTGTTTTAATAGTTTTTACTTCCTAGAAAAGGACTTGAGACTTATGACTAAATTGAAATCATTTTTATCTTGGTAGACTTTGAGCATAGAGAGAAGAAATACTAGATATAAGTAAATCAGCTTTTCCTAATATGATTCTGCCCACCTTTCTCCTTATTCTCATAGTTTTCATTTATTTTCATTCAGATACTTGATTTCACACTACGTACTAGGTACAGGACACAGTACTGGGGATTCGCAGGCAACACAAGACAGAGACCATCATCGAACACACAGTCCAGCAGAGGAGCTAACAGAGGACATAGACAACCTGTTTATGTGGTGTGTAAATACAAACTTAGACAAATGTTATATTAGAAAGATCCACAGTGATAAGAAAGTGTTAGGGTGTTCTGACCCCAGGGCTGGAGATGAACTTTGAGAGAGGAAGTATAAAAATGTTTCAGAAAGAAGAAGCAATGTGTGCAAAGGCCCTGTGGTAGAAAAAAAGCATAGTTCATTAGGGCAACTAAAAGTTAGTCAGTGGAGCTAGGGCAAGGGGAGAAGTATGGGAGACAGGGCTGCTGAGGCCGACTGGGCCAGGGTAGCATCCTTGGCCTCTAACCTAAGAGCAACAAAAGCCAATGCAAGACTTTAAGCAAGTGGCAATATACCGAGATTGCAACTTGGAGAGGTCTGTCTGCCTGCTGTGTGCATAATTGGACAAGAGTAGATAGGTACAGGGAGACCAAAGTTAGAAATTTTTTAAAGAAAGCGGTAGAAGTGTCTTAGACTGAGGTAGGTGGTGGCAGTGGAGCTGGGGATATCTTAGAGACATTTACATATAAGGTTCACAGGACTTGGTCGTAGCTAGGATTTGGAAGACCATGAGCATGTTTTTGGACATGATGAGTTTCAAGTGCCTTTGAGACATCCAAATGAACGTTTTAGAGCAGGCAATTGAGACTCGAAGCAAGAGTTTGGCTGGAGATTAAAATGGGGAAGTCTTATTAAATAAAGGATGGAAATCAATGAGAAGAAATATGGGTATTTTCTCTTTTCATTTTATTTGCATTGTATGAAAACAATACAAGTTCATTTTAAATAACTAAAGGAATAACTGTGAAACATCCCATAAGTATTATTTCCTCCCTGTGAGACCTTGGGCAGGTTGCTTGACTTCTCTATGCTTGTCCCAACCATAGAATCATAGAATCCTATAAGTTGTTGAATCAGTCAGGGTTCTAGCAGTGTTGAGAAATGCTGAGAGTATGATTGCTGAGAAATGCTGAATGTATGATAAAATATATTGTTTGCTAAGAGAAACGATGGCAAGGAAAACCTAGCCACCCCCCACCAAGTGGAAAACTACTTGGGACATTCTAAAGTGGCAAGACAGTAAATGTATATCATACACCAGTATAAACAATTCTTTAAGCATGGGACATGTGACCCTGCCCCCATGGCTTCCTCATGGAGAATACGTTTTAGTTTGTCTGTGATCAATGATAAGCAGGCACCAGCTGCCTACCTAGTTTATTTTTGTTCTATGAGAAAATATCAAACATCTGTTTGCTAATAAGCATCACCTCTTCAGAGAGAATAACTATGTACATCAGCGTCTGCTTGAGGCCTTTAGCCCAGAATGCTGTCAGCCCTCTGAGGCTCTCAGCTTGGGAGGCTATTGGCCCCCTGGATAGTCCCACTTTGTTGTTCTGTCTGGGTGTCTGCTTCTTAATGCCCTCAGTGCCACCTGGGTGGGGGTCGCTACGGCCGAGCTGGTCTTGGTACAGCAGGAAACAGCAAACTCAAATTGAGTAATTTCAAGAGCGTGTCAACTATTTTCAAAGATGTAGGCAAGATGGAGAAAAGCTGTAAGGAATTGTGCAGTACCCTAGGTTGGTAACAGCAAGAAGTATCACTCTGAACAGGTAGGGGGAGAGAGCAGTCATCAGAACTTTAGTGACAACATTGTTTGGAAAGGGCTGCCTGACACAAGGTGTGGTCTTTAGTTCAGGGAGACAGCCAATCCACAGGAAACCCACAGGGAGGAAGCTGGGAGAATAAATACCTAATCTCCCCCCCTCGAGTCTCATGCTGATCGTCTGCATAGATCTAATCCAACCAGAAGCTAGAAAGCAAGGGAGACTCTGTTGATGCAGTCCATACAGGTGTCAGACAAACTAGCAAGTGCCAAGAAGCCATGTTTGCTCATTTCTGCTTGCCAGCATAATTTCACAAAGCCCCTGACTCTATGAAGATGTGCATCTCACCAGAGGATGCTTCGAAGACATAACAGGATAGAGCACACGGCCCCCCATATCTCTTGTCTGAGTCACTATATTCCTTAAAAGATAAATGACCCTAGTCCTTGCCTTTCCCTACACATAACGTAACGTCTGATGGGGTTAGTGATTATGCTTCCATAGTCTATAGCCAGATGTACTCTTACACCCAAATCTACATGTGATTCTGCTTCAATGTAACTTCTGAGCAGATTTGATTTAATTTTGCATGTACTGAACTCCCATGCTTGTCTATAAGCAATGGGCTGAAATACTGTGCCAGAGCAGTCTGATGGAACTGCTCCTGGACTATAAACCTTGGTCTGTAGTCTCCAGTAAGACTTCTGAATAAAACTAACTTTAATTCTTTAAAAGCTCGATCTGTTTTTCCTTAGTTGACACAGGTCAGCCTTCAGGGGCCAGAACAGAGTAGAGAAGTGTGGTGGTGGCACCCGGAGAAGCAAAGTGAAGATACCTAGCACAGCTGAAGTGAGGGTTAAATGAGCAAATGCATTAAAACATTTAGGGTAGTACCAGACATGTAATAATTACTCAATACATATTCATACTTTAATTTTTTAGACTACATTATATATTCATGCCATATATATATATATATATATATTCACTCTTTGTGTTCAGTTGCCTACTCTAGTCTACTTAATCATTATCCTCTCACATTAAGCATTTAGTACTTTCCAGTTTTTAATATAATACATAATATGGAGACGAACATTTTGTGCATAAAATATTGTATGTGCTTTTTAGAATTTCCTTGAGATAGAGTCCTAAAACAGGATTATGAGGTAAAAAACTAGGAGCATTTTTAAGCTCTTTGATTGAAGTTACCAAATTACTTCCCCAAAAGATTATACAAATGTATACTTCATCAGTAATGCCTAAGAATGGCTTTTTACTATA